CAGATACTCCAAAATGAAGGTCTCTCTGAAATGAGTCCAAGTAGCGATTTGACCTTTGAGTTCAGGTAAATATGTACCTTGATACCAGTATCGAGCTTTACCAATTAAAGCTTGATAAACACAACGGATTCTTTCAGAATCTTGCCAGAAATTCGAGGCTGAGATAAACTCGTAATCACGTAACCATGCCCATGCTTTGGTAGCTTCTCCATCAAAAGTGGGAATAGTAAATGGCTTTAGTAAAGCTTTTTGACCTTCAGAAATTGTTGGTAACAATTCAGTAAAGGAACGACTTTGTCTTTGAGTTGAGTTTGGTAAACTCAAATTGGGTGTTTTATATTGTTGACTAGAGTTCACTGATTGAACAGGAGTTGAGGAATTAATAACAATATTAGGTGTAGGTTGTTGAGTTACATTCATTGCTGTATGGTAGGAACTTCCTTCTATGGTTTGATTTGGAGAGATTTTGTTATGAGGAATATTTAAACTTTGATCTTTAAACAACTTGTCGATAATTAATTCAGGTAGATTAGCAATTGTGTGATCAAGTGTTGACAACACTTCCGTTACCGCATTAAACCGTTCATTCATTTGTGTTTTAATACAATCTAAATCCGAAGTTAAAGCCCAAACTTGTTCTTCGAGAGATAAACCAGCAAATCTTAATGGTTCTCTTAGGTTGACTCTACCAGAGTCTTCAGTCATTTCTAAATCGATGAATTTGTTATTGTTGTCCATTACTTACAATACCACGAAAATTAGGTTGACGTTCCTAGGACCCACGTTATCCCTAGACTTCAACTTTACTTTTCCTAAGGGCGAATTTACGTTCCTAGGACCCGCGTTAACCCTAGACTTAAACCACCAATTCAATTAACCTTTCTGTCCAACGGACCTGGGACCTTTGTTACCCCAGACAATGGAGAAACACAGGGGACAAATGAAACTATAGTGGGTACTATACACACCCCACCAACAAAATGGCTCGACCGCGAGCTGCGAGAAAGACGAGGAATCTCCACCAAATGTTATGGTTCAGCGAACCAAGGGAACAAATCAGCACTAAGAGTTACTAACTCTTGAAATTATACACGAGTTTAAATTAAACTTGTTACTTAAATTACTAAACACATTTAAATTACTGAGGTTAAATTGGCTAAGTGTTATCAACACGTTTGAATATCTTATTCACACATTATTGTAAACTATTCAAAGGTTTAATTACAGTTGTTAAGAGTTTAAAGAAGAGCATAAATATGACTTAGCTGATTGTTGCTAACAATCAGCTTTTATACAAAAGTGATCAAAATGGTTGACGGAAAAGGAAGTTAAACAAAGTGAAAGGAATTTATAAAAGAAAACAGTAAACAACAATTAAAAGCTAAAGAGTCTCAAGAGATTGGTCATCGACCAATCATAATCTATTTGATTATAAGGGAAATGAATAAGAGGGGAAAAGTAATGAAGCTTTGTTGTCAAGGAGATAAGGGTGATGATGTTGGTAACATCATCAGCGGTCAGTTTGTCCCGGTGGGACATGATAAATCATAACACCTTACTAACATTTGAATCTATAAACTGTAACCCTACAATCATATTTACTCTGATAAATAAAAAGTGAGCTCACTCAAATTTCTCTTTTCTATTATTTATTTTACGTCGAGACATCAATCATCGTGCATCTAAAGTTGATAGTATGAGCAGTGTACCTATGGCTACCAAGGTTCATTTTACGGTAGATTTCAAGACCTCACTCAAGCTACGAGGCGAGTTGGACTCTGATGAAAATCTTTATCATTTAATGGACAATATATGGACTGGTTTTAGGAGACTCAAGATTCCTTTCGCAATTAACCACCATGATATGGACAAGATTGTTTTGATTATCAACTATCAAGATTATTATTGTAATGAAAAAGAAATTGTTCAATTTATGGCCAATATTTTCTGTTTAAAGACCGAAATGATCTAATAAAACTTACATAAATATATTTATTATCAATTTATTTCTCGTGTAATCATGATGTTGTTGAGTGTTGTTTCTATAATGTTACTAGTCTTGACTTTATTAATATTGAGAATTATACTAGTAGATTTTTACAAGACTAAAGACTTGAAACTAGCCTAGAGCATGCGCACAAGCAAACATGATAATTTCCAATATAAGCAACTGCTTTTGTCAGTTTAGTTATAGTCATGTTTGAGTGCAGTGAATGTGGAGTTTCATTCAAGAAATTCAAGTCTCTATTTATTCATAAAGAACAGTGTAGTTTATTGAAATGTGCAAAATGTAAGACAAGGTTTAAAGATAAAGAAATGTTCATTGAACATGTTATCAAATGTAAAACAGTGGTATCTTCCCTTGGTGACGTAGCTACCTTTCGATTACATAAATCAGCTTATAAAGGTGTCCTTGAAATTTATGTTAAACTTGGTTCATGGTCATCTCTAGAGAACCTGTTTACAGCTGAAAGGCAAAACATAATTAATCTCATCAGCCATGTGATTGGAAAAATTGGATCAATTAAAACTCAACTTTGTGTTCTAATCAAGTTTATTAAACAAAAACCAGATGGCGATACGGATTCTACTGAAATTTATAAAATTTCTCAGAGTGAACCTTTAACTCATTCTTCACAAATTGAAAAAATGATCACTAAATGGATAGAAAACCTTGAATTGGTGGTTGATCAGTTCACACAACGTGGAAGTGGATGGGTACTTCAGACAGTCAAGATGTTGGAAATTAGAGGTAAGCTAAAAGAAAATAGTGGTGGTTGTTCAAGTGTTAAATTACCACTAAACTTGATCCGTAAAAGGAGCTTGGTATCGCCAGTTTGTAAGTCTCATTGCTTCAAGTGGGCCGTTCTCATAGCTCTTCATCCTCAGGCAACACATAGACAAAGAGTCTCTAAATATAAAAAATTTGAAAATGGTACAAGTTTAGAGATATTGATCCAATTACACCTTCTCTCAAATCAATCGTTTTGAGAAGCGGAACAATGTTTCTATCAATGTATACACTGACTTTGTGTAAGAAACCCAAAGTTGTTCCTTTGAAAATCAACAAAGATAGAAAGACAAGTCACATTAACCTGTTTCTCTTCAATGATCATTACTTTCACATCACTAACTTTAACGGATTCATGATGAACAACAAGTCATGGGAAAGATTCTTTTGTTATTCTTGTCTTTCTGGCTTCAGAGATCAGTCCTCACTAACCAGGCATGAAAGCTTTTGTGGTGACAATTCAGCTCAAAGAACCATTCTTCCAGGTACAGAAAATGTTCCAAAAACATGTGAGTTTACTCGTGCGGAAAAGTCAATTTCTTATCCATATGTTATTTACGCTGACTTTGAAGCCTTGGTGATAAAGAGTGAAAATGCATTAGGTGCCAGCACATTTGAATACCAAAAGCATGAAGCTTGTTCATTTGGCTGGGTTGTTGTTGATTGGACAGGTAAAATTCTGTTCAATAAATTCTATCGAGGTGATGACGCAGCAGAGAATTTCATCAGAAGCCTTTACAATGTACAAGCGTCCATCAACCTTGATCTAATGAGGAGAATAAAGCCACCAATTCTAACATCAGAAGAAAGAATCATTTATGAACTTGCTGACATTTGTCATGTTTGTTTACAGCCACTTTTCCAAGACAAAGTTTTAGATCATTGTCATCTAACTGGTAAGCTCCGTGGAGCAGCTCATAATCTGTGTAATCTGAAACTTAGATTACCAAATCGAATACCAGTCATCTTTCATAACTTGAAAGGCTATGATGCTCATTTAATTATGAAAGGAATCAAGTCAAATCAAGTGAAAAAGATTTCTGTAATCCCACAGAATAGTGAAAAGTATATTGCCTTTTTCATGGATGATTTCATTTTTCTAGATAGTCTCGCTTTTCTTCTATCCAGCCTTGATACATTAGCAAACAATTTACCAGATGAAGATAAAACGAAATATTTATCACAAATGTTCAATAGCTCGGATATACCTCTACTTTTATCAAAAGGGTGTTTACCTTATGAGTATATGGACTCTTGGAGTAAATTTGATGATGTCAATTTACCTTCAATTGATAAATTTTATTCACATCTATGTCGAAAAACAATAGATGAATCAACATATTCAAATTTACAAAGGATATGGAATCATTTCAATTGTCAAAACCTTGGCAATTTTCATGACATTTACTTGAAAGTTGATGTCTTACTTTTAGCGGCAATATTTGAAAACTTTAGATTCACAAGTTTGAAACAATTTGGCCTCGATCCTTGTCATTATTTCTCTACACCAGGTCTCACTTGGGACGCTGCTCTCAAAGCAACAAAAACCAAACTTGATTTATTAACAGACATTGACATGATCCTTATGATTGAGAATGGGATTCGAGGAGGAATTTCTTGTGCAATGACAAGACATGTTGTTGCCAACAATCCTCTCTCTGAGAATTATGATTGTAATAAACCCAACTCATACATCACTTTTCTGGATGTGAATAACCTTTATGGTTATGCTTTGAGTGATGATTTACCGATGAGTAACTTTGAATGGGTCCCTTCTGAATCTTTCGATCAAGTAATTGAATCAATAATGACTGGACAAGACTCAGATACAGGATACATTTGTCAAGTTGATTTAATTTACCCCCAGCATTTACACGATCAACATAATGATTATCCCATGGCTCCTGAGAAATTAACAGTTGATGATGAATGGTTAAGTGATTATCAAAAGAGAATCATATCTGATCTTGAAAGTGTTGGTCTTAAACGATGTAAAACTGAGAAACTAATTCCTAATCTAAGAGATAAGAAAAACTATGTGGTACACGAAAGAAACTTGAGATTTTGGTTATCAAAGGGACTAATCTTGGATAAAATTCATCGTATTCTCAAGTTCAAGCAATCCAAATGGTTGAAACCTTATATTTCAATGTGCACCCTCAATCGCCAGAGAGCTACCAATTCATTTGAAAAAGACTTTTGAAAGTTGATGGTCAATTCATTATATGGAAAGAGCATTGAAGATAAGCGGAAACATTCCAAAGTTAAAGTAGTGACAAACGGTCAACAAGCAATGAAACAGATTAGAAAGCCAATGTTTGAACACTTTTACATTCTGGATAATGATTTGGCAATAATAAAATTACGTAAATTTGAGGTTAAACTGGATAAGCCAATTTACCTTGGATTCACAGTACTAGAACTATCAAAGCTTCGGATGTATGAACTACATTACGATCACTTTCAACCTCTTTATGGAGATAACCTAAATCTTGTTTACACTGACACTGACAGCTTCATTTATCATATTGAAACTGAAGATATTTATAATGATTTAAAATCAATGTCAGCAATTATGGACTTTTCGGATTACCCTGAAAATCATTTCCTCTATGATGTTTCAAACAAAAAGAAACTTGGGCTACTAAAGGACGAGATGAATGGTCAAGTTATTGATGAAGTTGTCGCCATCAAATCAAAGCTTTATGGAATTAAATATGGTTCAAAGATAAAAAAGACCGCTAAAGGAACTCAAAAGGCAACCGTTCGTGATGAGATATTGATAGAAGACTACAAGACCTGTCTCTACGATAGTGTGTTATTCAGACATGATAATTACAGATTACAATCTAAACATCATCAGATTTCAAGTATAAAAACAAATAAAATATCTTTATCTCCATTGGATGACAAGAGATATATACGCGAGGATGGGGTATCAACATATGCATTTGGACATTATAAAATTGTTTAATAAAATTTATTTAATATGTAATCATTAACTTGTGTTTTACATTTAATTAACGGAAAATTTAAGTTATTGAAATGAGATTCGAGAAAAAGAATACAATAATAACCACATTTGATTGACAAATCTCCTTGGAATATGTTTTGATTATAAGAAAAAGAATTATTTTTACAGTTTCTTTCCAAGAAACAAGTTATAGCATCAGGTGGTGCAGTTCCGAATGAGTCAAAATATTCACCGCGTCCATATTCTGATACAAACAGAGCAGTCCAATGAGAGCCTGGTTTCCAACTAGGATCTAGATTAATTACTATACCAAACGGCTTTTCAAAAAGTTCAAATGGTAATTTATCAATTGCGAAAACACCTTTGAACTCTGAGAATCTCTTGAGATGGCTATCAATATCAATTGTTGATAAAGCCATCAATAATCTGTTGTTATAGCTCTATTTGAATTTATTTGAATCACACTATCATATATTCCAAATACAATCATGTGTAATCCCTCAGTCAAAGCTTCGGTAAATTGTATATCAATTCGAGCACTCCCCCTTTTAATCATTGAGAGAGCTCCAGAGTCTGTTGCCAATGTACCATCATCTGTAAGATCAAACACAAACAATGGGTACTTGTCAGCATAATCAGAGTACTTGATATTAATTTTAGGCACTCCAAACTCTTGATTCATAGCTCTGAACATGTTGTAATACTCTCTCATATAAATCTTGTTTTTGAAATCAGGTTTGAATGCTGAACTTGGAATCTTGACACCATTAACAACCAATGACATTTCCTTCATGTCTTTATGTTTAAATGAAAATGCATTGGTCGTAATGTCACCATTAAATGCCTTATCAGTTACAAATCCAATTATTACTTTTCGTGGTAACTGTCCATTGTAAACATTATCGATACTACTGGCAGCAAATCCGTTCACAAGGTGATAAGATTTAACTTCATTTCGTTGAAAGTAATACTTGGCCATTGATTTAGCTAGATTTTGTTCAATAGTCATCTGAACAGGCATGAATAACTTTACTCGCCTAATGAATAATGACATTTGTTCAAACTTTAATGAAATTGATCCCGACTTTGAACATGTTAAGCCAAAAGTTGCAGGTGCCAGTTTGAACCGTAAAACAATAGGTACTCCATCAATCAAAAACTTTTCTTGTTGAAACATTGGTGCGTGAATTGGTAGAATGAAATCAAATGAATCTTTAATTCGATTGATTCTTTTATCTTCATCATCAATCAATTGACAAGCATCAACAGGTGATTTATACTTGAAAAACAAATCTTCGATAAATGATTGGTAATGAAACAAACTATTACCTGTCGTTACATTCACATTTCCGAGATAAACATCAAGTTCTTCGAATAATGATACAGCATAGTTATTCACGGGTGTAATTGTATCTGTAGCTAGTATTGGATCTTTGTACTCAATTTTGATTTTTCCATGTAAGTAAGAAGCTGATAGATCCGTATAATGTTCAGACGAAGGTACAACAAATTCAAAAACTTTCGCTTCATCAAGGGATCCTACAGGTCGATATTCAACATCATACATTGATTCAACAACAGTTTGTGTAGGTGGTAATTTGAATAAATCAAGCTCAGCAATAGTGGCTGGTGATGATTCATTGTGTATAAATTCCATTATTTCTTGTTGAAAATGTCACGAGTTGTTCTCTTTGATTTTCTTTTTGTCTTGTTGACTGGTCTCTTTTTACCTGTTGTTTTCTTTTTAATTGTTTTCCTTTTATATAACCTTTTTCTTCCTTTACCTTTTTGGATACTCTCAACCTTCTGTTGAAGTTTAGTTAGACCCTTTGATGCTAAATTAGTTACACCAGTTTTGAGTGCTTGTTGAATTTTTGGATCTTGAGCAACTTTTTTACCTAATTGTAATCCCTTATCTAAAGCTTCCTGTCCAAGATATTTAATTAGTGGCATAGCAAGTCTTGATATAAAACTTCCAAATCCGTACCCTCGTTGGTAACGTGGTGCTCTAACAACTCTAATATCACCAAATCCAGAACCAGTTTGACTTGAGTAATAATGACTAAAGTCACTATCTTTAGGACAATAAGCTTTTCGATGCATATCGATGATAGTTTAGAAAACGCTGTTGGTCTTTATACAACTTTTTTACGAAAGTCTAAACTCAGAAACATTCTTCCATTACCCTCAAAGGCAACCTGATCTCCACTATCATGTGTTGCCAATACACTTATGCTTTCAATATGGTTTTTTCGAATAGGGTAATATATTCTTTGATTAAAAGTACAATACCCAATGTCCTTATAAATTCCACTTGTTAATGGGACAGCTCGAAGTACAGGAGCTTGTGTACCTCCAATCATATGATCACGTATAATATCAGTGTATAAATACATTAAAAAAATTTTATCATTTGCAGCGTCCAAATTGAATTTTAGAGACGGAGGAAGCAACTTTTCCTTATTTACATAAGACCACCAATTATCTTCCAGCTTATCAATTCCCAAGACTTTTTTTACTTTTATGTTAAATATTGGTACATAAATGCAACCGTGTAAATTATTCTGAAGATGGTCTTTATCCATTTTCCGAAGATAATATTTAAAAGGCATCACGTACTTGCCTGCTTCGTTGAAAACTGAACATTGTACTTCGGATAAGCCATCTCCATATGACTCTACGATTCCCATAGAATCAACACCAAAGTAGTGTACACCGATCTGTAATTTATTAGTTCCGATTTTCAACGGATAGTCAGCAGGTGTAGTCTCTTTTATGTACTCGCTTGGTAACTCTTTCATCGTTTCATCGAAACTTTGCTGTAAACTCTGCAAAATTTTTTCAGGAGAATCGTTCAAAAAAAATGGAACTGTTTTCATAGGTGACTCATAAACCCAATCATTAGTTATAGAAAAATTTTTTGTATTTCCGGTGTATGCATAAAAACGTTTCACTTTTAGTATATATTTAATCTCAGCTTCCCCAACAAATTTAAGTGGAAAATATACTTCTGTTAAAGCTGCTTCCCAATCCCCATTCAACTCAAGAGGAGGATCAATTCGGTTTTGAAAAGCTGAAATTGTGTTTTCAGGGTAAAAATTCATTGATCCATTTGAAACTAGATCAATTGTGAATGAGTCTCTATCCATCCTTACTCGTCTTACTTTCGTCCCAGATCCAGGTATCAAACTTTTTTGGCCATCCTTCCCATCGTATCAAGTGCTTATATAATCTTTTCCTTCGATCATAAACACGATCAAGTACTTTGGCCACTCTATACTCTGAATTAGGGTCGTATTTAACCTTTTGGACTTCTTCCGGATAGAAAATTGATGTAATGTTTTCATCCATCAAGTCTTTCAGCTTGTAAACAGTATGACCAGGTGTCTCTTTAACTCTTGAGACTTTAAACACCTCATCAGTCCATTGTTGACTAGCACTTTTGTCACCAGTCAAAGGGTTTAGAGGAATTTTCACATGATCATCTACTTTAATTGTTCTCTTCTTTTTAGGTCTTGATTTAATTGATTTTTGAATTGTTTGTACAATTTCCTGTTGATTGTCTCTGGTAACCAGTCTTGGACTCGTTTTAATTGTTCTATGAAATGAGTTGTTGTAATTGTCAACAATCTTTTGTAGGTCATCAATGTACCTATTTGATCTCTTGTGATAAATATATCTGTATATTCTAGCTCTTAAAGTTCTTATAAATCTTTCAGCTAGTGCACATTTTATCGAGTTATCGGTTGTTGTGAAATAATGAACCCCAACACTTGAACAAAAGTCTTGAAACCTTTTGTTTTTAAACTCTTTACCTTGATCGGTCTGTAACTTGGCTGGTTTTCTACCATTTTCAAATAATTTCCTAAAAGCACCTATAATTGTTGATGATGTTTTGTCTTTAACAGACTCAACCCAGGCAAATCTACTCAATACATCGATTACTACTAATAGATACCGGTTATTGTCATTGTCTTTAGCCCAATATGACATATCCATCAAGTCGGCTTGCCATTGTTCATCAAGCCTATCAACTAATACAGGTAAACGTAAAAAGTTCTTTTTTCTCGATCGGAAATTTGTATATGTCTCTTGGCCCTGTAACCATTCCTTGACAAAATTTACATCAATAGTTGGATCAACGTTCTTGACAGCATCATGTAGTCGATTAACACCACCAAAACTTCCAGTGTTGTTGATGTCATAATAAACACTCTTTAAAAGTTCTTGACGCTTGTCCATTTTATAAGTGGCAGTGTTTTTTGTTTATTTCTCTTTTTCAATGGTCTCTTTTCAAACTCCTTTATAGCTTCTTTGAACGTCTTTTTATATTCTTCTAAACGTGGAGGCTCAATAGGTTTTTCAACAACTTCTTGTACTTCTTTTATATTGTTTTTAAGTAATTGATACTCTTTTTCTGGAATTAACACCATCTTTGATATTGTGTTCATTACATGTACTTGTTGATCAACTTTTCACCAAAGTATGATAGAGCAGGTAACAGTAGTGCTGGTAAGAAAGCTCCACCTGTTTGATACACAATTTCTTTACGTTTCTTTAAAGGAACCCCTGACTTTCTTGATAAGAGTCTTATCTGAGCCTTAAACTTGCCAATTTTCCTTTGTTGTATTTGATTGATAGGTATATTTCCGTTTAGTGTGTTTTTACTTATATCTGAAATTGCATAGAATATACAAGACTTTGATTTTCTTAATAACTTATTTCTTTCAGTTTTTGATTTTTCATTAGCAAGTCTCTTTAATGTCGGTAGACACTTGATGACTCCTTCAACTGTCATGTTGAATAACGTTAAAACATCAATTTCTTTTATATAAATTATAGTGGATAAACATACATTGGGTCATCATTTTCATTGAAGTTGTTGGCTAATAATCGAAGCTTTTCAGGTGTGTCAGGTTTCAAATCAAAGAACAGGTATGAATAAGGTTTCGATGTAGCATCTTCGAAGATCTGTTGAAGTTTTTTAATCTTTGATGGAAACATTTGACGCGCAATATTTGAAATCATTGATTTGTCTCTCGGATTTTTGAAACACACTACATACTGACTATTTAAACTAATGTTTCTCATCTCTTTACCTTTAACAAAAAAGTTTTGAGTTATAAAAATTACTGATATATTACGATGATGTGAACCACGTGTAAAAAGATTACTTATAAAACTCTGATTAGCTGCTTCAAACATCAAATCATCTATTATTATCCATTCAGGGTCAGCTCCTCCGGCTTGGTTAATCATATCCTCTTGGAGCCCTTCTACAAAAGTAACATTACTCATTGAACTAAATTCTTTTTGATATTCTCCATAAAAGTAGGTTATTTTAACTGGCGGGGGGTCACAAATTTTCTCTGCTAGGTTTATCATATTTCGCACAAAGTATGTCTTACCAGAGCCTGTAGGCCCAGATACATACATTGTGAATGGATGCTTCAAATGAACAGAATACATTTTGTGTTTAATTAATTTCTTTATTCATTTTATATTAAATCATCAAGTTACAATTGATGAGGGAACTGATACATTGGGAGAAGATTTTCTATCTTCAGCTTTATAATTTCTGTAACGAGGGGTCGGCAATAGATAACCAAGTGATGATCCTAAAAGTGCTGTCCAAAGTGGTAAGTTTCCCGTCTTGAATACTATATTGGCGATAGCAGTTACCACCATTGATAATAGAACCAATATTTGTACCGAGAAAAGCACCTTCTTGCACCAAATCCTATATTCTTCCGCTTTGTCCATGATTAACTTTTACTAAGAAAAAATTATCCTTTATATAATTGTTCAAACAGAATGAAGTATTTTTCTATATCGATAATGTCACGAATACCAGTAACAGTAACTCGTCCGGTTCTTTTGAATATGATGAAAATTACCTTTGTGTTATCAACTTTAACATGTACACCTGGAAATAGCTCAGGCTCATATGAATAATAAGGAAATTTATTGAGATGATAATATTTGAAATTCGAATTTAATCTCGAATGTGCGACAATATTTACTACCTTGGCTTCTGTTTTATATAAATTATCTGGATAAAGATCACAAAACTTGTCAATTAGCTCATATGCAGCGGCATAAGTTTTTACTCCTGTAACATTGATCTTACCAGAATTGAATATTAATAAACAACCACCATCAAGCTTCAGTATTCCTCCTGAAAAACGTTTGGGATAATCAACAGATGGACAACATGCTTTCACGATTTGTCGATCCAACTTATTATTCAATTTAAATGATATTACAATATTGTTGATAACAATTTCTTCACAAAGCACCATTTAATCAACTAGTGATAAACGTAGTATTTTCGAATACTAGTTTTACAAATTGGACACGAATCAAGATCAATTGCACAGTCCGTACAAGACACTGTATGTTCACAAGGATGGAAAATACAACCAATTTCCTTTTCTCTACAGATTTTACACTTGTATCTGCCGATATCCACTCGGTAGTTCTGGTTTTGTATTTGTGGTTTAGTTTCTAAAACACAACGTAAAGGAAAATCGCAACCACATTTTACATACATAAAATAGCAGTTTTGCTATGTATACCATGTTCAACGAATGGATCATCATCTGTCTGCCAATTGAAAAGTACACTGTCACAATGGAAGCAAACTACTTTATCTTCGTTACCTTCGTAGAAAAATCCAGCGTCTGTTAACTTTCCAATGTCTATATCCGGCCTTGGCCAATTAACAAATGATTCAAGACGAGTTATAGGGTTTCTGTACTCTGGATGACGTGGTCTTGAACCACCAATACCATTATAATTGTAATGATATCTGTATGGGTATATTCTTGCTATTTGATCATACTCGTCAAACGATTCAACCATGATTAAAAGAAAATTGAAATCGTCAGCTCTATTTATACCTGAGAAAATATGTCGGCTATAAATAGACTGTCTCGTTACAAAGTGACTCATTTTGTGTATCAAAAAGAAAGAGAAAAAGAAAGACAAAAGAAAGAGAAAGAGTAAGAGAGGTGGTTCATACTGTGTATGAGAAAGTAAGAGAAAAAGAAAGAGATGAGAAAGAGAAAAAGAAAGAGAAAGTTGAAAAAAAGTGGCCTCAACTGTGTATTTTAACTACTACTATTTCCATCCTAGAATCATGGGAATATATTATTCAAGGTTTTTCTTTCAAATCTCAGGTGAGAATTGAATTATTCATGGTAACAATTAGCATGAGAAATTAGATTATTATTGTTTACATTGTTAAGTTTCATTCACGATGAAAATTCAAAATTAAGCTAATGTATTTAACGATTCAATTAATTTACTCTGATTGTAAGCTCAGTCATTATGCTACAGATTTGATTGAGATACTTTTGAGAAACAATTTATCCATCAAAGTGGAACACTAATTCAGTGAATGAATCATTACTACATTGTATCTGTAAGAGAAGCAAAAATTAAGCATTATTTAAGTTGCAAATGATAAAAGTTCCTATGGTGGGAATATTATCATTATCATCTGTGGTCTCTTTTTGTTGTATTTTCAACTGGAAAGATGATGATAAATAAGATGAGATATTCACATTGAGATCCTTAAGCAAATATAATATATTGAGTGTGAATAAATATCATCTGAATGTGTTTGTGTATATGAGAAAGTGGCAAAAAAAATATATCATTTCAATGGAAACAGAGAGAGAGAGAGATAGTATCATGGGGAAGGGAGTGAAAAAATCATTCCAATATTTATGAAGATATTATCTTTTTATTTGGTAAAAGATGAGGAAATTTATGATAATAGAAAATAGCATTGAGGGAGTGAGAGAGAGAGATAAATTGTTTTTATTGTGATCCGGTTGCAGTTTTAGCTTGAAGGAAGTGGGGGTTAAGAGATAGAGCAGAAAAGTTCTGATAGCTATTCAGTGAATCCAAGGAATCGATTATTATTATTATTACATTTTCATGGTAGCTTCATTTACGTTTCTTATTCAATATCATGAAAATCTGTTGAATGAATTAGGAGATAAGGTTGATAGAGAAGCAACAAAAAAAAGGGTTTATAAAGATATTCCAATGGTGAATATTGGATTAATATTAACTATCCATTGAAATTGTATCTTGAGATGAAGAGCCAATCACCTGTGGTCATCTTGACCGTTCATATTGAATAGTTTATGTAATTCCCTGTAAATAAAAAGTAATCACTATGATGAAGCAATAATAATAAACTATTATGATAGTGATGGTGATAATTATTATTATCATGGAGTAGGATGTGGGTAAAAAGAGATAAAACTAATTCAATGGCTGAACCCTGGACTCTTGGCTTTGAGTAGTTTAGTTTTTATGAAATGATAATGATAATTATTCCCATGAAAGTTACTCAATAATTGCCACTCACCAATCAAATTTAATCAAGAAATTAGGGTGGAATTTTTTTCTCTCTCATTTATTCCTTGTGAGGAAAATTTCATAATCATCATTGTCATCATTAAACTTGAAGTGAATGTTATATTTTTCTCTGTTGACATTAATATCCAAACAACTTGAAGGAACTGGAAGGATATGGAAGGTGAGAAATTATTATTATCTAAGACACTTCATCAGAATCCATAAACAGCAAACTGATCCTGAGTAAAGTCACATGATACTTCAGAATATTAAGTTTGTTTTTTTCTTCATCATCATGATAATCATCACAATCAACAAACATTTGATGATCAATGTTAAAATTATCTGTTGGGAAAAACGGAAGACAGAATAATAATTTTCATCTTAATCATCAACTCAATGAATAACCATGAAGTTGATAATGATAAAAAGTAACATGATATTAAGATATTAATAATAATAATAATATATTAACAAGATACAGTTGAATCTTGAGCTGGAATAAAAATGAAATTGGTTGACAAAAATGATGATAATCAAATACTAATCATCATCATGATCAGTTAATCAACTTTTTTTTATATATAAATTATTTATTATCAAAATTTCAGGATGATATTAATACATGTGACTATTAATGAATTTCAATCAGATGAGATATCAATCAGAAAGTTTAATCAATGAAATAATATCATAATATATCATCATGAATGTTAGTGAAAAATATATTCATGATCTTAATCATCATGAATTCAACAGATTTCATCTCAGTTCATTTCAGAGGAAAAGATTTGTTTGAAAGGAAAATTTTCAAATCAGAATCTCTCTCTCTCTCTCTCTCTCTCTCTCTCTCTCTTCCAGAAGCTCAGTTCAGTCAACATGAAATAATTTGTTCTGAAAAGTGTAAGAAATTGTGATGATAAATTTTTCCAAGTTCTCTTTACCCTCTCTACTGATTAGATCTGAGATTTGGAAACAAGTTTCACTGCGACTTCCCATGTACATAATATATGGAGGTAATTACCATGGGAATCGAGTGAAAAAAAGCTTTCACATACCCTGAAGGTGACAGAGATGATGTATCATATTGTAATCCAGAAGGAGGTAAAGTGGATGGAGCGGATTAACTGTCGGTTAGAATTGATATATTGTTACCGTTGTTATGGAGTTCGATTCATAAAATTTAATTTTAATTCTTTGCTTTGATACTCTCTCTCTCTCTCTCACTCTCTCTCTCTCTCACTCTTATTTTCAACTGGTCATCTTTATTGTTAATCATCATTGACTTTCAAAAGTATAAGAATTTTTTTCTTCCTTCTTGATGATGAACTTGTTCAGGCTAAACTGTTTTCTTACCCTGGAGATACAATAATATTCAATATTGTCCAGTAATCATCATTTTCTTTAGTCACTGGTCAGTAGTTAACCTTAAGTAATGTAATAATAATGAAAATGTAGTAATAGTGATAAAAATTATTTGTGAATAAGTTTGACGATGATGTTGATGACCCAATGGAACCAGAATTTAACCCAAGGGTCAAGAAAGATGATTGAGTAAACCAAAGTTGATGTTACCTGATTATATTGCTTATTTCATTGTGGTCATCGTTTTGGTCAAATAGTAGAAATAGACTAATGAAAAAGTAAAGGATATACTCACTATTTTCCTACTGAAAGTTTATCCAATTTTGCCATTTATTTACTTGTAACTTTTTTTTCTTCCTAAATTCTGTTATAAGTTTATTAGAAATTATATAAAATGAAATAGTTTGAGAGGGAAAAAAATAAGATTTGAACATTAGCCATGAATGAAATCAGAAATAGTCGCCATTGAATTTGAAACTGTATCTAAATTTCAAAGAAACCTTTGGATTTAATATAATAGATCAAATCAGTGAATACTTTAGGTAACTATGGAACTAGAAGAGTATTCAATCTACAATACTCACTGAACACTACATGTAGAAATAATCAAATGTCAAATTAGAGATGACAGAAGAGTAAGAACATGGTAAGATGATGACAAGAAGATGAAGCCAGAGAGAGAGAGAGAGAGAGAGTCAGGGATAGATTGAAGGTGGAAAATGAAAGAAAAAGATTTCCTGAGTTCTCCCATGTAAAGGAAAAGGTATTCATGGTAAATTATATAACAAAAAGGACAAGACAATCAACTTGGAAAAGAAAATGAGAGAGAAAGAGAGAAGGAGAGATCAGAGGATAAAATGAATTCTGTATAATAGATAATGAATGAGAAAGGAAACGCGTGTCCATGATGATGACAGGTAGTCACATGAATGCAACCATGATAATAGAAGCAGAGAGTGAGTGATACATGATCAATGGACTGAGGAGAGTACAGGGAATGAATAATAACTGAAAACTTTTACTCTGATTGAGTAAAAATAAGTTTGGGGAAAAAAATTTAGTCTGAAAAATTGAAAAAAAAAAGTTATCACCATGATGGTTATCATCATGATCATCCATGCATTTTATATTAAAAACTGTTGATTGTTTTGATGTTCAATATTACATGAGATTTGATGAATGAGCTTTGGAAATATAATAATAATAAAAAACGTAGACAATCAAATGAATTGATGAATGACAATGATGATGATTGAAGATGTAAAATAACTGGAAATGAAATATATTATCTCTATTATTTATTGATGATGATCGGAAGATGAAATTAGTTTGAACTTAGATGGACAATATCATGAGATGAATACAAAGACAGAGACATACTAATACATTAGTCGATGGATACAAATAATAGTATTTGAATGATGATTACTCAGTGGAGATGAAGATGATGACAAAAGGACAATGATGAAGAAGAAGAAAAAAAGTAATCACTAATCATTAATCATCTCTCTCTCTCTCTCTCTCTCTCTCTCTCTCTCTCTCTCTCTTACCTTTTATCATCATCATGTATTACAATACAAGAACATGTGATGTTCAAGTTCATTGATAATTTCCGGTCAACATGAAATAACTACTGGAGTTGTAGTAAACATTTGAAACAATAAGTTGATTGATTGGATTACTATTAACAATAATCATCAATGGGCACGAGAGAGAGAGAGAGAGGGAGAGAGAGACTATCATTAATTATGAAACAATATAACAACATGTTACTAATTTTTTTATATCTCACTAATTGCTTGAGGCTGAAAGCTTGAGTTTGTAAAAAAAAAAGTTCATTCAGTTTATCAATGGTTGAATCTCATGGGGAACCTTTTTCCCTGATTACATTACCAATGCAATTTACAAATTGAATTTAGTGCTTACTCCACATTGTTAATTAACGTAATCATCATCTCAATGACGATAATCAATATAAGTAATCATTATGTAAGATAATTGTTATAGTTGATTACATCAAGTTAGCACATTCGGGTTGATTGCCTAAAGGTATATAAAAGGTAAGCAAAGGGAATAGCAAGAAAAAAAGTTCCTTAAATTATTTGTAATGACACCTAAATGTTATTATTACAATGATTACGATGTGTGATGAATTAAGTGATTTAATTTTGTCAACTAACAATTAGCCTAATTCGCGAGAAATGCAAAGTAACCTTTAATTAATTAATTAGATTGCTGGAGAGATCCACGAATTTGGGATAAACTTAATTGCAATTTAGTAAATTGAATGATGGATAAAAAATAACAACAACTACGAGGCAACAAAAAAGATTCATGGAAATTACTGAATCCTCATGATGATCATCATCATCTGAATAAATGAGTTTCCCATGATGATGATGATGATGATTAGCTTGAATTGATTTTATATCTCAAATGATTATTCATCAATAAGAGTTTATCTCTAAATGGTTAACTCAATTTAATCAAATAAAGGTAATCAAAATTTAATCATCACTCATTATCTATAGAGATAATCAGGTAACAATTAATTATCTATCTTAAGTTAGTTGGATCTCAAGATTGATCATTAAGAGAATTGATTTTTTTTTATAAAATCAAACATTTTTTGTTCTTGTTGTTGTTTTCTAGGTGCTTTTAGTGGTCAAGGAACCTTTTAACTGACCAATGAAAGTGAAAACAAAGTATTAAAAGGTTAGATGGTCATTTGTAAAGGTAAGATTATATTACTGGTCAGTTATACTAGAAGATGGACAAAGTGACCAAATAGACATGATGATGATGATAAAGAGGAAAAAAAATCCATGATAATGGCAAGAAAATGGATAATGTTCAAATTTAGTTGACCGACTATCGAATTAACAAAAAAAAAGTTCTGATACTGAAAACGAGAAAGCTAATTTATCCTGAGAGCTGATACCATGGATTCTGGTAATGATGATAATATTAACCCAATGAATTTGATGATGGTCAAGATGATGAAGATAAAAGATGAAATTTAGAGAGAGAGAGAGAGAGAGAGAGAGAAATGAAAAAAGTAAACATGATGATTTTCTTGCGAGGAAAAAATTTCTTCAATTCTTTACATTGGAAACAATAATTTCTCAGAAAATTGTTCAGCTTTATGTTCATTAGTTGAATTGTTGATTCAATTTTTCTCTATTAATCCAATCTTCAATTCAGCACAATTTTCAGCAAAATATATCAACTTACATGATGCTTACTGAATTAACTTATCGATATAAGATGATTATTACTTCATGGGTTTCTTGACCCATGGTCAAGAACTGAAGGTTGATGGGAATGAATTTTTTTTTGAGATTAAGGAGGAAAAAAATATTTGATTATCAATTAAAAAGATGAGGTTGTTTATTCAAAACTGAAAAGATCTCTAAATGAATATTCAATTGAACTTTTCAAAGAACCAGAATTAAATGTAATACAAATCAAACCATTCGAAAGACTCAGGAGACCCAAAGAAGTAAATTAAGTTTTCTCATGAAAATTATCTTCCCACTGACCACTTCCTTCATCTATTATTTCATTAACTTTATTCCCTTTCAGCTGAACCTTTTTTTCCTAATAATAGTCTATTTAGCTTCTCAACTGGACAAGAGAACCATCCAAATGACCAATCAATTGATAAACTTGTTCCATTCATCATGGTTATTACTTTCATGGGATTTGAATATTTTTTTTCTCTCATGAGCCTCTGATTAACTTGATGATAATTTACAACAAATGAAATTGATGCAAAGACTGAATTTCATTAGGAAACTCATATTCAATCATGAACATCACGCAACTGAACAAATTGAGATTCCATGTAAATCAGATGAGCACACAAATTATCAGATTTACTCAAATGTTTATTAATTATTATAACCATGATATTAATATTTTCACTCTCTCAATAATATGAATCATTTTATTGTAAATACAAAAAGGCTTTAGGTTGTGATGGTTATGCAAAATTCAATATCATGGAACTGAATTTTCAATCGGATTTAAAAAGTGATATTTATCATGAATTTTTTTCTTTTCCTTCATTTCATTCATGATAACCAATTATCGGTACAACTGATATATATGTAAATATTATATCCCCCTTATGATAACCAAACCGTGAACAAGAAAATGTTACATGTAAACTCATGATATGAAATTGAAACTCTAATAGATGAGGTGCTTGAAAGTTCAATGTAAAAAGAGTGATATTCATGATACCAAATTAAGAATAGAAATTCAATTTTACCATGATAATCTCATGTTATTTGTATATTCATTTTTTTTCACCTTCTAAATAATAATAGCAAAAAAGATACAGTTTTGTTCTGTTGACAATAACAACAAGACTAACGGTAAATATAATTTTAAACTGGGATGATGATGATTAGGATGATGATGGAGATGAGGAAGATGAAGAAGAGGCGGAAAATATAAAGGATGACAAGTTTAACTCTCTCATTCTCTCTCTCTCTCTCTTTATCGTTACATGAAATCTAAATCTTTCTGAAGGTAATACAATAAAATGATACAAGGAAGTGGGTGGTGGTGGTTATGGAGGATGAAGAAAAAAAATAAGATGAAAGTGAGAATGATTCACAGGAGGGAGAAGGTTTCACATTCATCTAACTCTCTGTGTCTTTTTTTCACCCACACCAGCCAATGAACAGAGAACATTGAACTGAGAGAGAGAGAGAGAGAGAGAGAGAGAGAGAGAGAGAGAGAGAGATAAATGTAATATATCCTATGGGAATTTCTGATATATCCTTCAGATTCCTTTGAATATTATTATATCAATGGAAATTGTTTGTTCTTTTTTTTCTTCTTCTTCTTCAATCAGAATTATCTGCTTATATTGATCACCTTTTGCCACCCTCATGATGATGATTTCTTTTCCTTTACCTCGAATAGATTTCTCTCTCTCTCTCTCGCTCACTTTTAAATCTTGTTTTGTGTATCATCATCATCATTCTCGCCCCTACTCCTCCCATTTCCACCCTGACTTTTTCATTATTAGCTTTTCATGATCATCGATAAAAAGTTTTATTAACCAGGATGAAATTTATCAGATTGCATTTGTTGTTTTTTCCTTTTTGTTGATTTAATTCATTTGCACGAATAAAATAAACAAAATAATCCAAATTTTAACCAGAAACCATGAAGGTGATCATCATGATCAAGGTTATTAATTCAATCTATTTATGATATTAATCAATAAAAAATAATCATGTTTGAAATGAAATTTGTTATGCAATTACGATCATCAATTTTAATCAAATCTTTGTCTATCTTTTTTATTACTTTTATCTTATACATGATTTATATTGTAATAATAATCATGATGTGATCGTGAAACTAATTGATTTGAAATGGTTCATGTAATTTCAATAGGAAAAGTTTCACATTTATAAATTATAACAATGAAAACCTAAAGAATTGGACAAGAGATACAATTGACACAAGTACCGTTATAAATGGTTGATAGACTTTGTTTTTGTGGGTCAAGAGTTTTTGGTAAAGTGAAAGTTCAATAGTACCCATGATGAATCACCATCATCAATATAACGATGATATATGGAGATAAAGGAATAGGAGGAATCACCAAGTAGGCGAATCTGTGTAGTAGGTGAAAGGGGTAAGAGGATGAAAAAAAAGTTCTTTGTTAAAAGAATATAATTTTTAAAAAGACCAATGGTCCGTAATCAATTTGATTCTCATCTATGTTACACTTTTTCTCCTTATTTCATCATCTTTATTAGAGAAAGAGAAATATATGTATTCCTGGTTATCCTCATCTCTCTCTCTCTCTCTTAATCTTCTTGTTTTTGACCTTCTTTTTTCTCTTTCAAACCTCCATCATCATCATTGGTTAACTTCAACTCGATGAGAAGATGATGGTGAAGATGACAGGGGATGAGAGAGAAAAAGAGAGAGAGAGAGAGGATGAAAACATAAAGGTCAATCTCTTTAGAGTCATTCACAGAGCGAGAGAGAGAGCCAAAGAAAGAAAGAAAGAGAGAGAGAGAGAGAGAATAATGACAAGGATGATGAGGATGATGAAAGAAGAAAAATAATATGAAAGAGAGAAAGAGAGAGAGGGCAGCACTTGGAGTTTTTATCATATTCGATAAAGAGAGAGGACGTGGGAAACTAAAAGGTTTTGTACAGTATCGAAAATAGACAGAGAAATAGAAAGAGAAGAAGATGAGGATGATACATTGATCTAAATGATGATTCTGCTCTGTTTTTATTACAGAGGAATTTTTTTCTTTTTTCGGTTACAATTCATTCAGTTTTACATTCTTCCCAGTTACACTTTCGATATTGTTTGAAGTGAAAGACTTTTTCTATCAATGGTGAATTGTGTTGATATTTATTTATATTTTTCTCATCATCATCAACAACTGATTAACCGTAAACAAAGGTCATCATCTGATTGTGAGGATAAATTTACATCAATGTTAAGATTAATTTGATTGCAACAATCGTCAAAACCCAACAACAATCAAAGGGAATAAAAAAAACAAACTTTAACCCAAAGAAGGGAAAACAAAATGTCCAACAACAATTAACCATAATCTCTGATTTGATTAGTGTTTACAATTGGATAATAAACAAGTTTGATAACAAATTAAAAAGTTAAGGTGATGATGTGATTTCTTTATTAGATAATCTAATTATCATTATCATTGGAATAGTGGATTACAATTTGATTTGATTGTGATGTTATATCAATAAAGGAAATGATTTAATTTCCTCTTCCATTATCACCAATAAAAAGCACTCAATCCAACCACAACATCATCACCTTTCAATGTCAATTGTTGTAACAATTAAGAAGATGAAACTTTCCAGCCAACTAATTAATAACTTCCAATTTTGTGCAGTTTAATTGTTGATCTGTTTCTTTATTTTTCACGCTCTTTGCAATTGATTTGCTTTTATAATACAAATTGATTCAAACAATCAAAGCAACACACAAACAAATACACACACACACACACACAAAATGAATCCATTGAATAAAATGACCATAGGAATACCTAATCCCCACCAAACGTTAACGGTATTCTTATGGTCAATATTAATGGCCTCATTTCTTGATGTGTGTTTATCATCCCATCGATCACATCATCATCTTATGTTTCAAAGTGATTCATCATCTTCATCATCCAATGTTGAACCTCCAATCTACTCATCTTATACTACTCCAAATAAAAGTATCAATTTTACCCATCTAGTTGTTGACCCAGTGACCGGCCGTCTATTTATTGGTGCAACTAACTGGATTTACCAATTTTCCGATGAACTTTCATTGGAAGTGGCCCAGCACACTGGTCCAATTGAAGATTCGCCATATTGTTCAACTTCAGATTGTTCTTCGGTTGAAAGTGTCGCCATTAAGCCAACCAATAATGTGAACAAAGTTCTTCTCATAGATCCTAATTCTCGAATGCTGATTGCCTGTGGTTCGGTTAGACAAGGTTGTTGTCGTCGTCATCACATGGATGATATAAGTCGATTTGAACCATTGGTTGAAGTTCCAGTTGCTGCAAATGATGAAAACTCGTCGACAATTGCGTTTATCGGTCAAGCTTTTTATTATGGGGAAACCGGTGAATCGGTTCTTTATGTGGCATCAACTTATACCCGTCTTGGACCTTATCGTGAATTTGTCCCTGCCATATCATCCAGGTACCTAGAATATGGGCCAAAGTTGTTCACCATTATTGAGAAATCTTTTACCGATTCAGGAAGGGTTGACATTTCAACTCACCTTCGAGACTATTTTCTAGTTAAATATATTACTGGATTTGTTTCCGGTGAGTTTGTCTATTTTGCTGCAGTCCAAAGGAAATCATCACTTCGAGCACTTGAAGAGTGGGGATACGTTTCTCGATTGGGTAGGGTTTGTGCATCTGATGCTGGTTTCCATTCATATGCAGAGATTACCTTATCATGTGTAGATCACGTTTCGGGTATTGATTATAATCTGCTTGTCGGTGGATCAATAGTTCGTGCTGGTCATAATCTAGTTGATTCATTGCGTCTTTCTCGTAATACCGAAGTGTTTATCGGTGCTTTTGTTGCTTCGCGTGATCATACCACACGACCATCAACAAACTCGGCAATCTGTGTTTTCCCAATTCCCGCAATTGAGGCCAAATTTGCAGAAAACATTCACCTTTGTTATAATGGTTCAGTGTTATCACGAAATATGGATTATATTGCTGGAAGTGTTAATGAATGTCCAGAAACAGGGGTAAGAATCTTGACCACGATAAGTTTTCAACATTTCTCAGGATTTGCAATCTCTCACATTCATGATGTTACATTTTCATTCAATTTAAGTGTTAGAGGTTGAAATGAAAGCCAGAGAGAGAGAGAGAGAAATGTGACAATCAAATAAGTAAAATAGACAGGGAAAGACAGACGGACAAGGAGAGAGGTGGGGAGAGGTTGAAGGAGGAGGAAGAGAAGAGGAAAATAATGAAATAAATGAATAGGATGCTAAGGAAACCACTAATATAACGGTTACTATTTTGTATGTTGAAGGAAAAGTAAATGATTTTATTGATTCCTTTTTGTGTTCTGTGTGTATGTTGAAGCTCTTGCTACTCTTGAGCTGAGCAAAGCAAAAAGTGAGATGTTCAAGAAGTTGTAGTGATGATGATAATGATGATAATAACAGAGCGAGAGAGGGACAATCGTGTCAAAAAGTTTTGCTAAGGGTTGATGGTTGGTAGCAGCAACAGTATGATGATAGAGACAAAATTGAATGGGGAGTAGGATGAGAAGAGCATATTTGTTGTTTGTGAAGGCGAAAGGTTTCCTTGCCCTGGGAAACCCAACAAAAGAAAGACTGAAAAAAGAGACTATTGAATTAACGGGAAGATGCAAGATGATGAGGATGATAAAAGCAAAACTGTACATCACTATCTCTCTCTCTCTCTCTTACTTGTCGCTATTTGGATGTGATTTAGTAATTGACAACTAGAGAGATGATAAAAGAGAGGAATTTGAATGTTCATTGTGATACTTTTATATAAACTACATTCTCTGAATGATTCTCATGGAAAATTTTCTCTTTCTTTTTTCTTACTTTTCTTTTCCTTGACCAATGTCCATTACCGATATTCAGAGAGCCGGAAATATATTAAACTTTTGCAATGAAGCATTAAAATTAAACGGAACTTTACCTTTAACAGTTAAACCAGTTCTCACCTATGATAATACAAGTTTAACCGGAATCACTGTAACCACCAATGGTCAGCATACAATTGCCTTTCTAGGAACTGCTTCCGGTCAACTAAAAAAGGTAAAAGTCTTTGACAATAAATTTTTTATTCATCTCATCAAACTATCAATATTCAAATGATCGCAAACATATCATTTACAGTTCTATACCTAAACTATCAAATTATTACAAACAATCAGTAGCAATTAATTGATGATTGAAATGGTGATAAAATTGATCTTCAAGTTGATTAGTTAATTGGTAACAATTTAAAGTGTGTGTGTGTAAAAAATAACGTTAACAATTGAACTTAAATTGGTTACAAACAAACAAACATAAGATTAACTTTAACTGTTTATAATCAGGATATTAAAGACATTGATCAATAAATCAATCAATCAATTAACATTTTCAGTTAGTTAATCAAATGAAGTGTCTAATTTTGTTTCTCTCTGGTTATTTATTGATTGTACAATTGAATCAAATGTACAATTAATTGATTAAACATTTGAGGGTGGGAAAAGAAACCACCTCAACTAAACAAACTTTGACAATGACAAAGTCAATTGATTCAATGTACATTCAACTCTTACCAAACTTGTCACATGAAATTATCATCATTACCAACCTTGGATTAATCCTTTCACCCTTCATCCCATCACACAGCCACTAACATGATGATTTTAATCATGATTGAACTTTGGAATATTTTTCAGCGGGAAAATATTGTCAGAACGATAATTAAAACTCCCTATTGGATAATTTTTCGTTTTATATATTCAATATTTTCATGTTCTCATGAAAGTATTGTATTATATTATAACCTGAGAAATTTAATTCATTTAAATTTTTCGTACTTTTCCCCATCCCCTTAGGCTATAAAATCATTTATCTCTTGAGGTTGATGATTATTATTATGATGAGTCAACAATGATTAGCATAATCTTTCAATTCATTCATTAATTCATTGAGTGTTAGATTAATTCATCATGGTTATTACTGTTTCATGGTCAGTTTATTGAGCTTTCAGTTGAGAATAACAAAACATTGTGATAAAAAAAAATGAATATGATATTAACAAGAGGATATTCAGTCCAATACAATTTTGTATCTCATTAAAAGTAACGGTACTTTTACTGTTATATTTTGATAGTGTTTAAAGTTTATTGTGTTATATATTTTATCATTTGTTTACAGAGCTTGAATCTTTATTAGATGATGAAAAAGGAAACGTTTTTATTACATTTCTCTTGTATCCAATTCATCCTCATCTCTTTTTTCTCATGGTACCTTTCATGATGATGATAGTCAACAATATCTCTTTCTGGTTGTGTAATATATTCATGTGGTAATTTGATCTGCTTGAGATTCACAGAAATATATTATTACTTTTCTTTCTGGCTTATTTTTCATACTCATACTCATCATCATCATTTCTTGTTTATGTTGATGATATTGATCTACTTTGGCTGATTAGATTGATTATCAATAGTTTTGTTGGTCATCATCATGAACTTGGAATATTTCTGAATGATGATGATGGTGATGATGATGATCGGAGATGAAGTAAAGTAAAAAAAATCTCTTCTTCCTATCACTCGACTGAAATACACTAATGAGAAGAAGATGAAGAAAGACTGATGATGAGAAGAAGATGGAGACAGAAAAAAATTCTCTTCACAACTGAATACGATTGATTGATTACTTGTTATCTTCTCTTACTTTTCTTTCTTTTTTCTTTCTTCCATGGATTTACCTTGTCAAATAACGATTCTTTTCATCATCTTTTCCTCCATGAACTTTCCCTCCATTACCATCATCATAAACCCTCCACAACCACCACCTCCATTACCTCCTCCTCCTCCTCCTCCTCCTAAATATCCAATTGATAGCCAGTTATTAGTTGCTATTTTATTTTGATTCAAAGAATCTCATTCAATCTAATCGATTCAGAATCTGAACCCAAAAACAAAAAAGGGTGTGGATGATGATAATGATGAATCATAGAGTGAAAAACACAAAACAATAGCAACAAATAAAATATAATCCATGTAATAATATTCAGAGTGAACAATAATGATAACATTGATATAATAATATAATACACTTCACATTCACCTAGGGAATCATTCAAATCTGTACTTTGATTTGAAGAGAAGCAAAAAAAAACCAATTATGATGATTGTTGTTCAGCTTTTCATCATCATCATCATCATCATCATCCTATTCCACTTTTCCTCCTCTTCCTCATCATCATCCTTAACTATCATTACTTTACAGTTTCCATCAACATGGTTACCAGTAAATATAAAAAGCAATAATATTTTTCCATGAAAATATTACTTACGATTCATAAATACATGAAGTTATCTCATTGATTCTCAAATGATAATCATGATGATAAAATTAAATTGTTTCATTATTATTATATCAATATATTTATCACCTTGGGACTAGAAAATTGTTAAGATAATTAGTAGAATATCTTGAATGCTGACCAGTTGAATGACCCTCTGACCATTGAGAATGCTATTGCATTTACAAATATACACCAAGGAAACAAATGGTTAACAATAAGTGGACATTAACTTAAAAAAACTTTTCTTTCTCTCTCTCTCTTCAATACAATAAACCATGGAAACTAAATTACTGGACAATGGTCACTCTCTTATTTTTCAATTTGTTTTCACCTTATTTGTTGTTCCTATCTTTTTAGTCTAATCATATCCTTATGTGTATACATTTAGAGATGATAATTTATTATATTAGTGTTTGGGTTTCTTTTTTTTTCTTCATCAATGATATCATGTATTAACATTGTCTATGGTATGAGCAGTTGGAATGGCAGAAAAAAACTCCCAGTTGAACAATAACTATAACAGTAACTAGTATATTCATATATATATATAAATAGCTGAATTGTTCAGGTTCCAAAATGATGATTCTGATAAGGTAGCATGATGATAATAACAATAATGATGATGATGATTCCTTTTGCTTTTTTGATATTATTATCAGCACCTTATGGTTATAGTATTTTTTTTTCATCGTCATTATTATTATCATCATCATCTTGCAATGAACAATGTGCATGATAAATAAAAAAAAAGTTCTTGTTGATTGTTCTTGACTCTTTCATGAGTTTCACCAATTGTTGTACTAAATACTCAGTATCTTCTTTATCATCTTTTGTCATCTTAGAGACACTTTTTGTCTTTCTCTTTCATTATCACTGTTCTATCCACTTTTTCTCACCACCCCCTTCATGAAGATAAGTAAGAGAATAAAAAAAAAGTTCTAAAGACTTGAAGAAAAGTTCTTATTCTATCCTCGATTTTTTTTCTTATTCTATTCTTTTATTCAATCATTTTTTTCTTCTTTCTTCTCTTGTCTTCATCGAACCCTTCGTTCTGTGTAATGATGATGATAAGCAAAAAGATAATATCAATAGACTTGATATTATAGCGAGATAATTATGATGAAAGAATTATTTTTCTCCTTTATTTCTTCCTGTTTTTTTCTCATGATATCAGAACTTTTTCCCCTCTTTCTCTTTGAATTATCATCTCTCTCTCTCTCTCTCTCTCTCTTTTTCTCTCTTCATCTTTCCCTTTTGTTTAACGTTTTCTTCCTCAATGAAAAAGTTATTACATTTATCCAATGATTATCAGCATCATTATTATCATTGTTTATTTTCTGATCATTCTGGTGATAATAATAGGGAAAAAAGTTCCAAGCCCAGAATTCATCAGAAAAAGATTAAAATATTATCAACCAATGGTCATTTCTAATGTTACCTTTTATCACTTTGTTTTTACCTTGGTTTATATTAACTAGTTGAAAATGATAATATAATAGTATATTATTGACTTTGTTATTGCTGAGTGATAATAGTTATCATGAGATAATGATGATAAAATTGATGAATCATGAATTCTGACAAACAAGAAGTATATTATCTTAGTAAATAGATTTATTTATAACATGATAATGAAAAAAAGTATATATGATAATGTTATTGATTATAATCAACATATTGCTAGAGAGAGAGAGAGAGATAAAAAATGTCATCTAAATGAGATGAGAATCGATTCTGAATTCAGAATATTTATTCTGATCTATTTTGGACATAAAGTCCAATGAAACTAGAAGGAAATTTATATAAAGTTTGTCATGGAATTTACCATGAAACTATTCTGTAACTCTTTTCCTCTCTCTCTCTCTCTCTCTCTCTCTCTCTCGTTCTCTAATTCTTTAGAACTTTAGTTCTCTATCAACTACTCGAACCTGTCAAGCTCAGTTGTAATTCTGTGTGTTGTTATAAAGCTAAAAAGCTAGTTAAGTAAATGGCTCTCGATAAACTCATGGGAAATAAGAGTAAAGAATAGACAACAACAAATAGATAAGATATTACCAGGGATATGAAATGCTCGAAGAAGATGAAACCAGAAGATGAGAAAGACTCATTGATGATGATGATGATAAGTGACTCTGGTAATTGAATCATGTTTTTATTACTATTCTTGTTGTTATTTGTTTCAATTCATTTTCATCTGTAAACTTTTTCATCTCTCAAAGTGAGAGTAAGGAAAAAAGAGTCTAAATTGTTGAACAAATGATTTTATTTTCATCTAAATTCATTTTAACAATGATACAATTAATATCAATTTAGAGACTATAATCAGTGTCATGGTGATGATGATGATTATTATTATGGTCGTCATGAGATTGAAATAATTAATATTCAGAGAAAACTAGTCGAACCAAAGATTCATATTAAATGTAAAGGAAAAGAAATACAAAAATATATAAAATTATTCTTGCAGAATTTAAATGAATAACCATCATGAATGAATTCACTCATGGAGTCAAGGTTGTTATGTGCTTTTTTGGTGAAGTTTCTGTAAGGTTTTTCGAGAAATTGAAAAAAAATGATTTCATTTTCACTATTCAGGAAAATGAATATAATATCCATGAAAAAAAAAACACTCAGAGATACTCACATGTAATTCATGATTAAGATACAAATGAGTTTCATTTTTTTTTGTTATTCATTCACTTTCTCAGCTAATGATTTACTA